TTTTACCACCCCTGCATTGGGCCAGTGAGAGCAAAGGTAGAGCAGACTACAACAGGCCACTTGTTACTGTTTACTTAAGTACAAACAGTAGAGGAAGTGTTTAGTCCTTGGGGAAGCAGTGTGATTGAGCAGAAATGCAGAAGTTATTTTGATAAGGCAGAGCGGTAATTTGCCCCAAACTGTGATCATCTCTGAGCTTTAAAGCAGGCCAAGGATGAAGGCCTTATGTGTTTGGTTCTTCCTGATGAATAAAGATAAATTCTTGTAAGAAAAATAAACACTGTATTTTGGTCAATTTGCAAAAACTGGCAAAAGAATTAAATTGTATATTTAAGGGCTTGGCTTGAGGAGGGGTGGGAAAATAGTTCAGTCTTTACAGATTTTGGCATTATTTCTATGGTTCTGGATGCAGAGTAGCAAATTAATACATAAACTTACTTAACTGTACATGCTAGGGTTCAGAACTCCAAAATAAAACAGCATGAGAAAAAATCATTTCTTGTCACAGTTCCTAAAGTTTTGGTTGGAACTATACGTTTTTAAACATATAAACTGCTTTTGGAAAAAGAAGTATTAGACTTTGCATACTTGGCTGTGGAGGGATTATGTTTCAGACAGCTCTAAATTTTTTGATTGGAGAAACTTTCTGAGGATCCATCGTGGGATCCATTCTTATAGTGGTGCTGCAGTTGCCTTCAAGATCACAATTAGCATGGGAGATAGTGAGAAGTGCCTAGATGCTTCATTTGGTCAATTTAAACCGTATCAACAAGACTATTCTTTTTTCCCCCTTGCAGTTTTACTCAAAATCCCCCAAACTGTGTATTTGTGCATCGACTAGCAATCACACCAACAATAGCTTCTTGGCTGCAGAATTCCTATTTCTTCCTGTAGTAGCAATTTGTACATAGAGTTGTTTCATCTATTGGATGATGAGGGTGTTAAAATTTAAAATGCTAAAGAGTCTTTGAGAGATCATCTTTTAATTGAGTGTTCTCTTCTGATATTTGGAAATGAATGTGGTAACTAGTAAGAGACAATAATTCACTTTTTGGGTACTTCAAACAGAACAGCATAAGCCCCTCTAAGCCGTCTCTTTCCCAGGCTAAACATACCCAACTCTTTCAGCCTTTCCTCATAAGACTTGGATTCCAACCCTCTCTAACAGGTTAATGAGACAAGATCTTCTCTTACAGAACCCATGCTGAGTCTGCCTCAATAGGTTTTGTTCATCTATGTGCCTACTAATTCTTTCCTTAATAATGGTTTCCACCAATTTATCCAGTATCGGACTACTTGGTATGGCTGCCAGCCTCCACCCCTCCTGGGAATCCTCTGCCCAGTTGGCATTTTCCACTGATGGCAGCGAGAGAAAAATAAAATTTAAAACATGGTAACTGTCTAATGGCATGACATCACTTCCAGGTAAACCAGAAGTGATATCACACCTCTCTATGAATTGGCTGAAACTCTATGGTAAAACCATAGGATTTTCGGCAATTCCTAGAGAAGACCGGTATCACTTCTGGGTTAACCCAGAAATGATGTCACACCATCACCCGAAAGCCAGCCCCCAAGTCCCTGACCCCTCCAGTCTCTGTTGATTGTCAGGCTAGGCCTGACAACCCTACCATATGAGTTTCTTGGCAGAGTGGGAATTTGAAGTTGGGCAACTATGCCACACTCTAAGTAATCACTTGTCAGTGCAATGTTCTACTAGTCATTCAGTAGTTGTGGCTGTAGCACCTTCATTGCTGCCTCTTGATGTACTCCAGTAAGGACACCTATCTCTCCTTCCCCTTTAGCAGTGCTCAACCTGTGAGCTTCTACTGAACTGCAGACATGCAAGGTAAGTGGCAAAATCCAAATCAGGTATGATTTTAGCCTCTTAAAGGAGGCTGTAATGCTTTGCCTATTGCTGCTCTACTGCTAACGTGAACTGGCATAGAATTCAGGTCTGAAAGATCAAGCTATGAATTAGAAACATCCTCATTCAAATCTCACCTTTTCAACGAACTCACTATGTTACCTTAGGTAAGCCACTCTTATTCATACCAGTAATATAGGGATAACAAGAAGTGGCACTTGCAATACTCACGGGGGGGGGAATATTCCCCGCAGCTCCCGGGTGGCTCACCTGCTGAAGCAGCAGGAGCTCCGCACAGAGGATGCTGCAGTGGCTGCAGGTGAGCCCAGAAGGTGGTCCGTTGGGCTCGCCTGGATTCCCCCCCACCCGACGACAGCAGCAACGGCTGCGGCTGAGTCTAGCCACCGGCCCTCCAAGGTTTCTCCCCCCACCAGCCACTGTGGCTGTGAGCAGCAAAGGCGGTGAGCCCTGTGGGGCTCTTTTCCCTCCCCCCCCCGCCTCCAGCAGCAGTAATGGCAGCAAGCCCTGCGCGGCTCCTAGCCACTGGGCCGGCCAGGTTCCCCCCCCCAGCAATGGCCATGGCTCCCAGCCGCCCGCTGCCCACGCTTCTCGT